TAAAGCTATATTTACTCTATACTGCAGTCTGAGGGTGCAGTAATGGTATTATGGCTGAAAAATGTTTGTACTTTAAAAATATTTTATTGCTAAAAATTATAACACAGAGACACAAAGTGAGTACCTGCTCTTGGGACTAAGACTCCAACAGACTTGCCCAACCCAGGGTGGCCTCAAACCTTCAGTTTGTAACAAGCCCAGGGCCTGTGAACTGCGGTAAAGACAGTGCAGTGAAATGGGGTGTGCCTTCCCAGGCCTCGCGACCTGACCAATTCCTTCCTCAGAGATGCTGTGGGTTCATTGCAGACAATCAGAGTAAAGTGAATATTACCCCACCTCTGAAGGTTAAGTTTCACATTGCGGTTAAACTTCAACATGTGAATTTGGGGGGATACAGACATTCAGACCATGGCAGTGAGGTGCCAGTACACCTGGTATGTTGGGTGCAGAGAGAGGAAGGGGGAGCATTGGTGAGGAGGACAGCCTCAATAAGGATCTGGTGACACAAAAGCCACTTTTGATCTGTTCCATATCACTGAGCCCAAATGTCAGTCAACTTGTGAATAGATGGATGTGCTCTGGTATACGCACTGGTTTACTAGGGTGCTGTAACCAAGCACCAAGACCCGGGCTTAAAAACAGAAATGTATTAGCTCACCATTCTGGAGGCTGGAATCCCAGGTCTCGGTGTCAGCAGGTGTGTTTTCTTCTGGGGCCTCTCCTCTTGTCTGGTGGATGGTGTCTCCTGGCTGTGTCCTCAGATCTTTGTCTTTCTGTGTGTGTCTGTGGGAGAGGGCCCACACTAACGACCTTATTTCAGTTTGATCACCTCTTTAAGGAGCCTACTTCCAAACAGTCACATCCTGAGGTGCTGGGGGATTAGGACTTCACCACATGAATTTGGCGGGGGGGACACAAGCCAGTCAATCACACCAGACAGTGGCATATTTGCAGCCATTGAAAGGCACAGAGAGCTCTGATCCATCCTGCCACAGGGGTGAGTCAGATGTCACTCTGAGTTAAAGAAGTAGGTCACAGAGGGCCCGCATTGTGGGAGTCTGTTGACAGGAAATGTCCAGAACAGAGCAGTGGCTGCCAGGGCCAGAGTGGGGGAAACGGGGAGTGACCACTGATGGGTGGGGGTGTTCCCTGAGGAGGCAGAAATGTTAGGGAGTTGGAGAGTGGGGGTGCTTGAACACTTCATGAGCATGACGAAGATCACTGAATTGTGCCCTTTAACAGGGTGAATTTTATAATACGTGAATGATAGCGCAACAAAAATATTCCCACAGGAAAACATCTCTTGACCAAGAGAAAGGGATCAGACAGCCATCCCTGGTCACTTTCTGCAAAAGAGGAACCAGAGCTCTTCTGAATTCCTCCCCTGGTGGGAATCCTAGGGGTTTGGGAGTAGAAATAACTCCAAAAGTATGAAGAAACACGAAACATCTCAGTAGTCAGAGTGATACTATGCCACAGTAGCCCGGTTCCACGTGCCTGGTCGCTATGCTACCCCAGTTGATTTACAAACACTTTCTGCTTTCCACAGGGCATGAGCATTCAAAGTGTGGCTCATTCCAGGTAGTGTTCACGGTCATTTCTGCATTTTAAAGGGCACACATTTCTGTGTAATACTCTATTTTGATATTCTTTAACATAACATTATGATACAATTTCTTTGGCAGAAATAAAATTGGACTTATAAAAGTTTATACTCA